TTCAGCCGGTGGAAGAGATCGATGTAGATATAGCACGGCTATTTGATGAAGGTCCAGCCCAGGAAAATGAAGTCTTGGTGAGGTCAAAAGTGAGGATGACCCAGCCGAAGAAGAATCATGTGAAGAGAGCGGACCTGAGTAGAGCCCAGACTGCTGAAATTAAGAGTCGGAAGGTGAATGCAACTGTGCTGAGTAGGAATGAGGAAAGATGTGGACATACTGAGGACGGAAATAGAGCGTCAAGTGGTCCACGAGCACAGAGGCATAGGGATAGTGGAGTTAAGTTGTTTGAGATGTCAAGAGTTGACATGTTTCACAGACAACGTGGAGGAGAGATAGTGAAGAAGAGTAATAACCGAGAAAATGAAAGGAGAAGAGACAGTATGTGTGGAGAGATGCTTACGAGCACTTTGGGAGAGGCAAAGCGACATGTATGGTCGAGTGCTGTTGGATGTAATACAGGGCCCGAAGAAACTTTTAGGGAACGAAGAAGAGTTGAAGGAGAAGAAATGGAGTGGTATAGAGGTGAGAAGTGTGGGAAGAGGATGATGATGCAAGCATGGAGGAATAGAAGAAAGCCGAGGACTCGATGGAGGTCAAACAAGACGATGTCTTGGACAAATGAGGAGACGAAAGGGAGGATAGTTGGTGAAGACGAGGGAGTGAAGTATGATGACAGGAGGCGGAAGTATAATGGCAGTAGATGGAAGTATGAAGACGACAGAGGAGATACAGACAGTAGATGTCTGACTCTGGACGGGAAGAGAAGAAGACGAGGAAACGGAGGGTGGAGACAGTAAGTAGAGTGGACCAATGGATTGCAGGCGTCCAAGGAGGACAGCCTAGCCAAGAGGTGCCAGAGAAGTCAAATCGTTTATGAGAAGATCGTGTTTCTGGAGAGTTGTGAGCCAGATGTTGCAAGGTGCAACGAATTAATTGTAGACTCCTAAGAGAGTATATGGGGTGAAGAACGAGACAGTGTGGTGGCGGATGTATTATCCCGAGCTTTGCCACTGGAATAACTCTCAAAAATAAGGGGAGGGGAGTGTTATGATCTCAGCCTACAGGAGAAACGAGTCTCCCTCCTTGAGAGTTATTCAGCAAGCCTGACCTAACTAGAAGGTCTAGCAAATATTGAGGTGATAACCCATATGAAAAATGGCTGGTTGGATATGTAAAACAATTTAAGATTATGGGCAGTAAGTAAGGAAATAGATAAATGACTGGCTAGGAGATGTGGACATTTTGCTGGAGGCGTGAGGCTCGCTTCCGGAGGACCTTGACCTCACTTGAGTGCCAGACATCGCAGGGGGAAGCCGCGCTCCGTTTGAGCTCCCGCCAGAAGGGAACCCCTAGTGATATATCTCTAAGAGAAGAGAAGTGTGCAGACGTGCCAGCTGTGGAATTGAGCTGAGAACGTTGTGGTGTCAAGTCTTGGACGGCGAGGAGAGTTTAATAAGCTGCTCAGAGGCATTTTCGTGGGCTGTGTGGAGCGCCCTGACCAGACGCCGTCAGAGGGAAAGCGCCCTCGATCAGTTAATCTGTGGTAAGCACGATATACGCCAGTTCATAGTGATTGCTTATAGTTGGTCGTGTGCCCAGCGACAGTAGCGATGTTTATTTATAAGTTAGACATGTTTTAATAAGGCAGAAGGCCTGAAATAAGAGAGTGGAGAGGGAGGAACACGGAGCGACGTCCGCCCCCTCTGAGCGCTGGCGGACGACTGAGGGAGCCTGGCTCCGGATGGAGGAAGACCCTCCCAGCGAGTGAGGACCGCCGCCAGGCGAGGTGGAGTATGGACCCGCCCAAAACGGGGGAGTCCACTCTCACTGTATGTAGAGAACAGATAGAGGTTTGAGGCAAACATATTGTGTGAATATTTTTTGTTTATGTGTTAAAGGGGAACATTTTATTGGAGTGTCGATGGGTTGCAGGTTTGTTCTTTGGGGAAGAAGTTGCTGAGAACTTCGAAGCCAGCAGATGAAGTAGCTGATGAGACTCCAAGGTAGTGGAGCAGAGGACCTCGAGCTGTGAGGAGAAGCAGCAGTGAAGAGGAGTGTCACGTGCTTCTGTAGAGGTGGAGAAGCACCACAGTTGCTCGGGGAAACTTCATGGTGTAGCAGCCAAGAGAGCTGTGGAGGAACCTAGCAGAAGGGTGAAGCACCGTAGTTACTCAAGGAAACTTCATGATAGCAGCCTGGAGGAGCTGCAGAGGATCCTGGTAGTGAAGCCCGGAAGAACCTAAGGATATTAGGGTTGTGAACTTCCAGAGGTGGAAGGGGAAGTTCTGGTGGATTACTTATAGGGAGTTGATAGTGTTTGGTTGTCATTAGCGTGCAAGACGCAGTGAGAGGTGAGTGACTGTTTGCATTCTTATGTCAAGGAGTGATTTATTCTGAAGCTTAGAGTTGCAGTCGTAGGCTTGATTACCTACAGATGTATGTGCTCGAGGACTGACAGTGATCGATTAATCATTGTTGTGTATCAATGAACATTTATACTGATATATGTTATTGCATTCAAATGCTGGTTTTCTATATATACATTATCTTGCTGATAGTGCAACAGTGTATGTAGGCTTGACCAACTTGAGGAGGTTAATAGTATCAGGTGGTGAACCAGGAGATAGGATACCACTTGATAAGCTGATAATAGAGTTCTGATGGTGTTGGAGTGCAACCTGATTGTGATATTATAGAGTATAGGATTCATTATTATTATATGTGTGTATGTATCGTGTATGTGCTTTGTCCAGTAAATGTGTCACAATTTGCTGGTGTTTGCCCTTGTCCTAGTGAGGCTTCCCAGGAAGTAGTGAAGAAGGAGAGAGAGAGAGAAAGAACCAAGAACCACTGCTGTGGACAGGGTAAGAGGTAATACTAGTAAGTCATAGGGGATTGAGGAGATCATATCTCATAAGGAGAGAGTGGGGAGTCACAGCGGCTCGAGTGGGTGTGTGCACGTGACAACGAGGCTAAGTGTTGGAGCCGCATCCCCTAAACGTGTGACGCTGAGCCCCTCTCCAAGAGCCAGAAGCGCCAAGGGTGATCTCCTAGTATAAGCACTCTGCCGAGTTGTGGGTTGGGTTGTCCATAGAGAAGGATCGACGACGACAACACCAACCAACCCACGAGTCTATAATAACTATTTACAAAGCGCTATTCCTCAATTGTAATCTTGCTTTGAAACTCTTCCTATTATCTCTCTGATATTTCCAGAGTCAGACTAAATGTACGCAAACACACCATGCAAATAATAGGACTCAATATATATAGAACTTCCTTCCTAATGAAGTAAAAAAAACTGTCCAACAAATTGCTCTTTATTCAGAACTAGAACAAAGAATTACCAGTACCTAATTTCATCACCATAGTATTCCACCTGATGCTTTTAACTCACCCAGTATGTTGTGCTAATAACTCCCCTAGTATTTTGCTATCTAGAAATAGAACTACATCAGTCAAATTTATTTTATCATCACTTTATACTGAAATAGTAATTACGGTACGTGAATTTATATTCGGCTAGTATATACCTATCATTATACAGTACTAATATTTTATTTTGACTATTTCACCTTCTAGTTGTAATTTTACTGCAAATTCTGTGTTTAGTTCTAGAACCTGCCCAAAATGCTATGCAAGTTAGTGGCTTTACAAGAATGTTCTACTTAATCACCAATATATGTACAGTATTTTCACAACCCGTTGTACCATTTTGTATATACAGTACTTGTATATACAACATATATATTATCCCATAAATCATTCACAATCTGTTATCTATATCATTACATTATTTGTTCATCAGAAAATCTTACTGTATATTGCAATTCCATAGAGTTCTTGACAGAAGTCTCCCACTATATATTACCTATATATACCTATGAATATATCCACTTTATCATGTTTCTAATGTATGAATCTTATATAAATAATAATAATGCAGTAATATTATTATTATTATGAGTGCTATTATTAAGAGTAATCAAGTGGGCAAAATATGGTTAAGTAATGTTTAACCAATATTGGGTCAACGTTTTTAATGTTGATTTAGTGTTATATGAACATCATTTGGCCAGGAGGGAGGAGGGGGGGGAGGGGTTGTGTGGGGGTATGTGGTGCAACTGATGGCTCTTGTGCTCCATCACTTCCTGTTAACTTCACTGTACAGTTGATCATAGCTGAAGACAAGGGAGTCAGTACAAGTGAGTCAACAAGTTTTCAGTCTACAGTACTGATGAATAACTCATTCTCCTTACCAGGTGTTGATATATTGATAAGGTCACATTTTCATATACTGTACTTCTATTCCTTGTGGTAAGTTATATTAGGAGTTATAAGAACTATTTGAGTACTGTATTTAGCATAGATTTCAGTGTCTCAAACGAGCAGCAATAGATTGTTCTAGTAAGTACAATACTGAGGGATTGTACTTACATGTAACTCTTTAATTATCTGGCTAATGCTGCAACAAATCAACACTCAAATTTACTGCCACTGATGAGGATAATGATGATGTCTACATTAAGTCATTAAAGGGGCAGCCAGTTAGACATTTTAACCCCTATCAGACTCCTCTTCTTCAGGTTGGAATAAATTTTAGTGTGACCCAAAATACCAGATTGCTTTCATTTCCAATACATTTTTTTTAGGTTTCCAAGTATGCTTTTGAAAGGCACACATATTTTATACAGTAAATGAGAAACTCGCGAACTTCAAATACAATATGATAGTTATCAAATAAAGCTAAATATGCCAATTTAACCCATAAAACTTTATTAAATGCTAAAATTGTCAAATCTAAAGCCTAATTTGCAGGCCATACAGGATACTAACACTTATTTCAATTAAAAATGTTCGTTTGCATGATGATACATTAATATTTCAGACACAATACAGGAAAAAGACTGGTAGGAAAGGTAGCTTATATGGTTGAAATATGTATTAACAAGGAGGGTGTTGTACCCTAACTGCAGTGTTGGGTACAGTATTCTTACCGGGAGACCGACGACGCCAGGTTTACCAATGAGACCAGTTATCCCCGGCACACCTGGCTCGCCCTTACTGCCATCAGTACCCGAGGGTCCCACTCTTCCTTGTTCTCCCTTAACTCCGTCAGCGCCAGCAGGGCCTGAGGGCCCTCGGTCACCTGCAAGATAGTTTACCAGAGTAGGTAAAGTAAGTAAACCAGAGTAGGTAAATTAGCTAATAAACTAGTAGTTTACTAGTTTACCCGGTCGAGCCTGGCCCCAGGCCGGGCTCGGGGAGTTAAAAGAACTCTCGAAACCCTCTCCAGGTATGCTCCAGGTAGGTCAGTATAGGGCACAATTCTTCCTTTTGAAGAGCCTACATCCACTAGAATGCATATACAGGTTTGTGACTTACCGAAAAAGTAGTGTAATGAGTGGTGGAATATCACCATAAAAACCCTGAAGTATGTTTAAGTAATACAAATCTATCGTAACCAATTTTTCTTAAAATCCATATTAAATAAAAAAAATCAGAGTTTTTAATTTAGTTCATTTACTATGCACCCCAAAAGCATCAAATGGGCAGTAGTGGAAAAGACAGAGGCACATAATGGGCTCAGCAACTGAACCCCAAAATTAATTTAGCTAAGGAGGTTTACAGTCTTTATAAGCTAGTTACTGAATTTAATGCCTATAGACAATGGGTTAGAGAATAACCACAATTACAGCTTCTAAAATAAGCAACTCACATTTGTAGTGAACTAGTTTCATAATTTGATTTGATTATCATGAATGTTTAACCGTGAAAGAAAATGTAACAGGAAATTACTTGGAGCACTTTCATGATAATCAACACATCATAAGAAGCCTGCACATTACAGTTCTGTCGAGGGAGATATATAATAGCTCAATGTGGATGTAATGGTACCTATTTACTGATAGGTGAATAGGTGCATCAGGTGAAAGAAATTTCTGTCTATTCCCGCCGCGGTCATGAACTGAACTCGAGTCCATGGAATGCACTGTCCCTGAACTGTCTAGCAGCAGCTCAAGTTATATGTTAATTTGCATTAATTAGTGTAAAATATTATTTATTTTAATGGGTTAGTACATAAGAAAGTGTATAAACATCGACAGGTCCACAAGAAGCACCTAATACCAATAATATACTCTACTTAATAACAAACCTTTAAACAGCTTCACTGTATTATTTTAAGTTATTTTCGAAATGCATTGCATATTAGTGGCCTTGTTAAATATATATACTCTGTAACAGTTATTAACCCTCCCCCCCTGTAGATTTTAATATTATTATGTATATTTTTAGGATAAATTATTATTATTATTATTACTACTATTATTATTTTGATTACTGTATTATTATTAGGTTATGTGAAGAAAGAAAACAGCATCTTTGCTCTTGCAAAGAACTAACCTTTGTCCCCACGTGGACCGGGCAAACCTTCGCGACCAGGGGCACCAACATCACCTTTGACTCCAGGTTCGCCACGTTGTCCCACGGGTCCCATGGCTCCGGGTACACCGGGTGGGCCTGGCACCGAGTCTCCACCTGCCCCACCACCACCTGGTGCCCCAGGGATGCCAGGTGGACCCTGAAACACACATTATTTAACATTTACATCAAATTATGTGTCAAAAACGGGAAAGAAAAGAAAGGGATGGATGACACAGGTAATAAAAAAGAGCATTGATAACTAAGCAGAAAGAAGATTTATACCTTTGGAGAAGGCATAAATCTACAATGAACGTCATAGATTATGAGATACAGTATGTAAAAGGGCACCTAACTCGGCCACCCAGGAAATCAGTTCAGCCAAAAGAAACTATGAAAGAAAACGTCCCCATAACATAAAGAGAGATCCAAAGTTGTTCTATGCCTATATAACAAGCAAAACTCCTAAAAGATGAGACTAACAAGTTATAATGGCGGATAAAAGGGCAGCAAACACCTTGAATGAATATTTTACAACAGTGTTCACACTAGAAACATTAGACGTTATCCTATTATCCACACAAATGTTTGTAGGTGCCAAAGAAAACTAATTAAGGGAGCTACCCATAATGTGCGACACAATCAAGAAGAGCATTGACAAATTAAACGACTCAAAAGCCCTAGGTGTGGATGGAATTCAATCTAAAGTTGTAGAGGAACTGGCAGATGCATTATGCCTACCGCTGAAACTTTTTTCAGAAAATCTCTGGACTAAGGATTAGTTTCCTTATCCTGCCTTACAACCTGCTTGTTACGATATCAACGCTTTCTATGGAGTGAGGTGTGGTGATATCGACTATCTATGGCCTATACTCCAACTCCAAGGCATTAAGTGAGACGAAGACAACATCATCTGTTGGCGGAGGTGTGTCGTCAGTGAAAGGCTCCTGTTTCATCCCTCAGTTAGGAGGTGAGGTCGATGATGATAACCCTCTGGTGAGTGAAGTAACGTTATCGACACCATCTCGTTTGTGCACCCGATTACATTTACACTTTCCTAGTGAAAGGCTGCAATCCTATGTTCTGTCTGGCTAATGACTTATATCCACAGAGGTGACGTGGAGATTCTATTGCGCTGTGGAAATCAGTTCACCTCGGGCAGCCACGAACTCCTGACATGTTTTTGTGAGAGGATAAGTGGCCACAGCCAATAGTTGACAGGGTGTTAGCTGTTGTACTTGTGCAGTGATATTATGTGGACCGACGTACCCGAAATTGGGCCAAGAGGAGTTACAAGACGACAATACTTGCAGTCTGTGGGGAAGTACTGTCAGCGTGTTTGCTGAATACTTCTGCCAGGGTGTTAGTGGTAACCTCTGGACATATTATTTGTGACCTCTGTCAGCATGTTGCTGAGGACCTCTGCCAGTGTGTTTCTGGAGAGTAGATGTGGGGTATTTGGACATTGTAATGGTACGGTGTGGGACTGGCCCACGTTGAGTAAGGTGAACTCGCCAGTGATTACCATTGAATGTGCACGACGTATACTTGAAGATAGTGGACTCACCGGGTTTTGAAGAGCACTGCAGATATATTAGGTGTCCTTTGTGAAAGAGACACTGTGTACATAAGTATGGATATACTTTGATTGATAATATATTGGTGAAGGTGTTATTGGGTATTGTTTACCCCCGTTATTCCTTGCACAATTACTTACTACTGCCAATCCTTGAGAACTAACTATTGACTTGGGGTGGGATCATAGAAGACAGAAGAAGAGGCTCTATGGCCCATTACACAGAAAGAACCCGGTTTCTGGCTCAAGCAGGCCGTAACCCCTGCTCATTTTTGGAAACTGTAACCAGCTATTCAGGCAAAGAACTTCCGGTAGATGTAGTTTACATGAACATTGCTAAAGCTTTTGACAAGGGACCACTTGAAAGACTAGCAAGGAGATTACAGGCACATGGAATGGTAGAATACTAGAATGGATAAAACAATTGTTTAAACAAAGATAACAAAGGATCGTGCTAAACGGGAAGGAATGTGACTGGAGAAATGGAGTGAGTGGTGTACCACAAGGGTCCATTTTGGGGCCAACCCTTTTTGTCAGTGACATAGATTCGAATATTACAAACCACATCATCAAATTTGTAGATGACACTAAGATTTATGGTACAGCGGGAAGTGAAAATTATATTGAGGCCTTATAAAGGCAATCTATATGAACTCCACAAATGATCAGAAGACTGGCAAATGCTTTTTAAAATCGATAAATGTAAAACCTTGCATGTGGGGCATAACAATCCATGTCACAAGTACCAAATTAACAGCAGAGTGATGAAGAAAAAAACCTTGGAGTCAGAATCCATCATTCACTGAAAGTTGCACATGTGGTAGCGGCAGTAAAAAACAGCGTTGAATGTAAAAAAATGCCATTTTCTGGGTGAGACCCGGAGGCTCCCTGGAGTTATCCAGGCTGATATGCTAATGTCAGACTTTGGTGTCAATCATGTGTATGGAGCTCTGTGGGCCTACTAGAGACCACGAGCCAGAACCTGGCCCCCTCAGAGAGGCATGGGGAGCAATGGCCTATTGAAACCCCTCCACGTGGTTGGAAGCATTCTATGTCTGCCATCGACCGGGTCAGGCTCCCAGAAAGGTAAGCGTCCCAAAACAAACCCCTATTCTGGTGAAAATTGCGACAAAAAGCCGAAGTGGATAGAACTTCCCAAAAAGAAACGAGCAAACGAGTATGACGTCACCGTGCCGCTGTCTGCACAGCCCCTCCTTCCCGGGAGGGGGAAGGGGGAGCCCCAGACCCCCGCGCCGGCAATCCACCCTTCAGTTCTGAGGTTGAAAATCAAAACACGCGAAAAACCGCCAACCAGGGAGAGGGAGGGAAGCCGAGGAGCCACTGGGTTTCACCCAGAAAATGGAATTTCATTACATTCAATGCTGGTTTTCTGGGGGGTGCCCCTGCAGCTCCCCGGAGCTAACTACCCACAGAGGAAAAGTAGAGGGACTTACCCGGGAGGCGGTCGCTGCTCACTCCTCAACCTGAAGTCAAGACAACATGCTGCAACTGCCGACCCAAAGCAACACAGGCCTGACTAGGCCCAGGACCGTTCATGAGGTTGCGCACAGCCAAGACCCTGTTCGACCACCAAAAACCCCACGCCCGAATGTCAGCCCAAGACATGTTTCCAAAGACGGAAGCAAGAGCAGCAAACTTACGAACGTCATGGGCACGGGGATAGATCGCAGGCTGGCTAGCCTTAATAACCTTGTGGAGAACCTGGGAGACCCGCACCCGCGAACAGGGAAGGAGGGAAACCGGATCAACCCAAAGGGCATCTCCTGGACACAGAAGCCGTGGCGTGCAAATAACAGCGGAGGGCCGCAACTGGACACAAAGGATGATGCATCCCTGGCCTGACCAACCAATCATCAACAACCCAAGGACCCCTCCGGAAAGCAGCTGTCTCATTCTTCACCAGAAAAGAAGAAGACGGCTGCAGACGAACAAACCGATCGCCACTACCGAAAGAGCAGAAACTCCTGCGCCGGAGGAGAGCATGAAGCTCCCTGACCCGACCCCCAGAGGCCAGCGCCAACAGGAAAACGAGCCTTCAAGAAACAATCCAGAACCGAATGGGCCACAACAAACCGAGGAGAAGAGAGAAAGGAGAGCACTCTGTCCAATGACCAGGACGGCTCAGGCGGCGCATGAGCAAGCCGGAGGTGAAACAACGCACGAGACATCTCGCAAAACGGCGCAGAGGTAACATCAATACCAAAAGCAAGCTGAAGTGGCTCTGCCAGCGCCACACGATATGAGGTGACAGTATTAGGCATAAGATGACGGTCCTAGAACAACCAAGAGAGAAAGGACAACACCACTCAAACTAAAAGAAAAGCACAACGACGAAGAATCAAAAAGAACCGGAAGGACCACCAGGAAACTTCATACTGCCGCCGAGACGAAGCCCGCAGGTGGGACACTAACAAGGAAGCCACCTGATCACCATAGAAATGATGATAAACTCGAGTCAGAAATTCCATACGCGAAGACTCGAGGAAAAGATCGAACCATCCACGTGACGCACCAGTCCGATCTGCTGGAAGAGGCGAAGCTGCAGGAAAACCTTCGGGTTCGACACCGAGTAAGCAGCACCTGAAACCACGGCTGGGCCGGCCACCACGGAGCCAAGAGGATTACTCTCCCCTGGTCTCCAAGCGAGTCAGGACCTGGAGCAACAGCTGAACAGGGAGGAAAGAGGTACAGGAACCCCCACCTCGATCAGTCCTGCTAAAAGGCATCGACCCCGACGGCCTCGCAGTCGGGGGAAGGGCACCACATGCAGTGGTAGGCGCCACCTCAAGGTGCCCAAACGTCAGACAGAGCCAACGGAAGGAGTCGGCGTCGACCGTCCATTCCGTGGACAGGGGAACGAAACGAGATAGGCCATCTGTCAAGTCGTTGGACACTCCTCAAACGTGAATTGTCAGGAGAGCCAAACCCCAAGAACTCAGCAGACGAGTCACCCGAAGCGACCAGTGCCAAAGAGCCATGGACCGCGTCGAACCCCCTTGGTTCAGGCAATGAACCACCAGGGAGCAGTCCGAATGGAGCTGGATCGTCGATCCGCGGGCGACCCGAACCCTCCGAAGATCAAACCACACTATTGTGAACTCCCGCACCGTGCTGTTGGCCTGATGGAAGGACGGACCCCACCGTCCCTGGACGACCTGGTGAGTTCTGGTCACAAAGCCCCAGTCGAGAGACGACACACCCGTGAACACAAAGAGCAAGGGCTCGGGTAGGCGCCGAGGCAGTGAACCCCGAAAAATCCAAAGAGGAAGCCGGGGACACAGCAGCCGACGCTAGGCCCCCCGGGGGCCGAGCCCAGCGATCGCGAGAGAGGCTGAAGGGACGTCCTCGAAAGAACCAGAACAGCCAACGAAGCCAAACCCGACCCGGCGGGTAGACCATCATCGCAAATTTCATGCTCCTGAACAGACCCTCGAGCAACTGCTGGGTGACCCGGAAGCCCCCTAGAAACAAGTGCATGCGGGACTGCAGCCGTAGAAGAGACTCCGGTGGAAGAGACAAGGAAGAGACCTTGATGCTCCATAACAAAACCGAGCCGGTCCCTG